TTTTTTAATATTTGCAAAAGTGTCATTCAATAAAAATAAGTCTCTTTTAAAAATTTATTTACTTTGTTTTAATTGTAGATTTGAGTTTATATAAAACTAGTGAAAAAACACGGAATCTCGAGGAATTTCAGTGAGCCAGATGCTGAATAAAGCCTCTGCAATTTTTATGGTAATGGAATTCCGCAAATATATTTCGTGTTCCTTTCGGACCGTAAAAAGAACATTGTATTTCTTTAAAACACTATTAATGTAAGATAAGAAGACATAATATTAATGCCTTAATTATAGACTACCTCGATAAATACCCGGTATCAGTAAACAGAGAGTTGCATGTGTATATTTGTTTACTTACACAATTGTCCGAATTTGATACATGGTTAGGTCATATTAAGGATTCTCTACTAGATAATCCGGTGTACTATGTATCACCTCTCAACGTTAAAACCAAAATCAGCTGAATCAGCTCAGCCCCGTTCTCGAGTTTTAGTGAGACAAACGAACAAGTAATTGTCTGAAATGGCAAACGATCTCACACAGGGCACGAATGAGATCTGTGATAGGACTAGCTTTTCTAGATGGAACCTCTTTACTTTCGCCTTAAATAGGTCTGGGTTATATACACTCGAGAATATAGACGCTAACAGTTAAATTCCATCAAATGGGGATAAATTTGTAGTAGAACCGAAAATTTATATCTGTATATTTACGTCACAAGCAAGATAAAGAAACCTGTTTTGTTGATTTACATTACGGTAACTATAAAAACTGCGCGCACGAATACCATGTAGTGCGAACGATAACATTTTATCGTTACTTTCAATTAATGTATTTATTTTCATGTAGGAAATCAACGAGTCATTTAACTTTTATTTATGTGCATACAACCTCATTTGTAATTGGCGAAGAATTCTGTAGAACATTTTCCCACCTTGAACTCATTCCTTATAACAATATCTAGGTTTGAAAAGGAAATATTTGTTATAAATTTTATTTTTAAACCTATATACATAAACCCACCTATTTAGCTTGATTTGGTTAGTCAAATATAAAGTAAGTATTGATTGATATTATACTCCCTACCCTCATGTTTCTATTAACTAGTTTTCAATATGGTTAAACAAAATATTATTAATTTTAGTGTTGACAACATTAGCAACTTTTTTTTGGTGGAATCATAGTATTATATTTACTGATGTAAGATGCTTCCTTTCATTATAAATTAATCTGAATAACGCACACTTATCGATTAAAAGATATGTCACCCATTCACAATTTGATATATAATGATAATCAAAATGTTCGCCTCTGCAAGAGTTTTTATTACTTCTTTTGTATAGGAACAGGCGTAAAATTAACTCCTATAGTATGGTTCTAAATGAAATGATTGGTCTATACTATCAGATTTTACATTATCAAACAATTTCAAATCAGAAAACATCCATCCGAAGAACATGACAGGGGTTTTCTTTGAAGCTTAGAATTGATTGGCAAAATTTTGCATTTTGTAGTACTCTGAATATGCTGCTGAGTGTAAATTATCTGTATCATTATTTTCAAAAAATGCAATTAAGCTGCTGTAATGCAATTTAAAAGACATGTTATGAATATTAAGAATGTATATTCTTGACATTGAGTAATGGCTGTCATAAAGTTAAAGTATATTTTAAAGACTCTCATGTATGCAATTAATAGCCGTTGTTTTGTTTTACTCTTTTTTTTTTCTTGTATAATATTGGCATTTATTTGATAATGACATATAAATCTAAAGGTAGTTGCTAATGTTAAGAGTTTATAATTTTCTTGTCAGTAAATAACAACCTGATTGGTTGGTACCTAAGTTTGAACGATTCATGTGCCTTCTTGTTTTTTTGAATAAAGAAAAATATCAAATATAATATAATTAGCAAATATACTAATATTTGCTAAATTTTACATTAACAAAGCTAAATTGATATTTATGCTAAAGTAAAATTCTTAATAAACTTTTGATAACGTCTGTTATTTTTACTAGTGTAGATAGCGTATTTTCATAGGGTTTAGGCAATCGATACCAAACAGCCTATAGAAGTATTTTTACAAATATTTGAACTTTAAATTATGATGAAAATGTGTTTTAACCTAAAATCACTCAATGCTGTGTATAGAATAGTAGTGCTCGAGCCCTGTTTTTAATCGAGTCACTCGAGTTTATTAGTAAACTCTTACTTATTGAATATGTATTTTATTTTATACAGTCAACAGCACATCAGATTATACAAAACCATCAAATTTTTCCACTTCATTTTAAATCTCAATTCATTGAGGGTAGAGTTCAAAACCTATTGCAGAAAGGGTTTAGCCGGATACGTATGACGAGTCGGCCCCCAAATGGGAATCGATATTGAAACTTATGTTTTAATGTCGACTTGATGTTCAAACACGATTTATGTACTTTTCGCGACCGACTTTCGCTTTGACCTTGAGATAGAGAGCAAAATATCCGTATGCTTGACTATTACTGAATGTGATATATCTCTAAAGCTAATTAAGATAAAGAAGTGAAACTAACGCGAGGTGTTAGGTTACATTACAGAGTATATCACATATATTTTTTTATAATTTTTAGAATAAAAAATTACATTAAAAAAATAAAAAATAAAAAAATCATGTTTTTTTTTCTGAGTTCTCTGTGACTTACAATCACGAAATTAATATATGTTATGCTCCTTTGTGTGCTCTATTACCCATAAAAATTGCGTGAAAAAAAAGTTGGTGCAACACAACGAAAAAAAATTATATGTGATTTCTGTCTTATGGTATACCCCTGTATTATAAGGTTTTCACATTACATCATTGTTTTTTTTTTCGAAATTTCACATCAGCTTGTTTTAAAACATAAGTAACTAGTCTTAAGAGATGGGATAATAGTTAAAAAAGAAATGAAAAAAAAAACAGCCAGTGTTCAATACTTATTATTATTACTTTTTCGTGTCTATCAAAATACAAGAAACAAAATATTAATGATCGTCACTGTTGTAATTAATTACAATCGGAACACTTTGAGTCGCAAATAACTTAGTTAGGACCTCAGCAGGACGTACGATTTTGGACAAATATCATCCATATGATAGATAATAAATAATAGCTGCTACATGAGAACAGCATCCCACTGTACGTTCGCCATTGGGGCAATCACAGCAATAACGAAGAATACTATTGTAGTCATTACCTTCGGAAATATAGTGAATGTAAATTCGATAGACTTTTCTATTTATATGTCTTGATTTTACTTCTGCTTTGATGATATTAGGTGCTGATTTCACATATTGTACTGAGAGATTATTTTGATCGTCCATTATTTCGGCCAAGTTAAATGCTGCACATTTAGAAGTAGAAGCTTTTTTGTTAATATATGGGATAAGTCGACACTTCTTACAAAAAATATCATTAACTATTACGATTTTATTCAAACAGTCACTAAACACTTTAGCTTCTTCTTCATTCTTTATAATTTTTTTATAACCAGGAATCTTACACAGGTACTTGTTACAATTTTTACACTTTGTCGACATTATTACTTAATAATGATTTGGTTCGATAGTTAATAATTTCAAAATGCTGATACAAAATACCTATGACAGAATTTGAGTCCCAAACTGCCTTCTTGTGTAATACAAATGACTGCTACTTTAGCTAAACAAACGATGCAGTAAACAGCTCGATAACAAGTTCGAACTTGTTTGTTTATACACTCACACTACAAGGCGCGAATCACATATAATTTTTTTTCGTTGTGTTGCACCAACTTTTTTTTCACGCAATTTTTATGGGTGATAGAGCACACAAAGGAGCATAACATATATTAATTTCGTGATTGTAAGTCACAGAGAACTCAGAAAAAAAACATGTTTTTTTTTTTTATTTTTTTAATGTAATTTTTTATTCTAAAAATTATAAAAAAATATATGTGATATACTCTGTAATGTAACCTAACACCTCGCGTTAGTTTCACTTCTTTATCTTAATTAGCTTTAGAGATATATCACATTCAGTAATAGTCAAGCATACGGATATTTTGCTCTCTATCTCAAGGTCAAAGCGGAAGTCGGTCGCGAAAAGTACATAAATCGTGTTTGAACATCAAGTCTATATTAAAACATAACTTTCAATATCGATTCCCATTTGGGGGCCTACTCGTCATACGTATCCGGCTAAACCCTTTGACATATTTTAGTTACCTGACGTGCAGCCGTGTGTATAAAAATTATAACATTGTATGATTTATAGGTATTATATAAATGAAAGCGTCTGTGAAAAAAATAATGATAATATCTTAATATTCCCCGCACATCTGTTTATATGTTGGTAAAACAAAGAATCATAAATGATATGTTGCTACAAGCAAAGAGTATTTAGTCTACATTTTATGTTTTGTTTTATAAACAATTTACTAATTCTGATAAAGGAAGGACCGCTTTATTATAAAAAATAAGGCAATTTGAATAGAAGCAATGTAATATGATACTTTTCTCATATATATATTTTATTAATCATTAACGGTTAGTAACACGTCGTGGCAAATCAAGTCTTTGTTCCGGTTCCTGAAATTGAAACACATTTGTAATAGAATTAATAAGTAGGATGAGGAGTAACATGTTCTCAATTGTTATACTGAGAAATTGAAATTAGAATATCATTCATACAATCTTACAAAGTGATCATTTTGGTTATAACTGAAAGGAACTTAAAAATAACTGAGTGCTTTAATTATAATAGTGTTCAGAAGCGTAAACCTGGTAACTTGAACGATAAGTGCATTGCCCTATTAAAATAACATTTGTTCTTTTTATACAGTAACTTTGTTGGACAGGTAAGGTGATGAACTGACTGGCCGAGCTCTCGTCGGCCTCGTTGTTAGTAAATACCAGCTTCCTGGACTCATTACACCGGTTCGTGGAGCAAGATCGCCCTTTGCTTCAGATATTACTTTTGTATAAATACGATACGAAATATTGTATGTCATCAGTCGTTCCCTGAACAACACAGACCACAATGTACAAGCTGGTGGTGTTGACTTTCCTCGCTGTCGCGGCCGCTGAGCCCGGTGCAGTTATCGTTGGACCCGCAGCGTACTCAACACTAATTGCACCAGCCACCACAACTATTGCTAAGCAGGCCACCAGTGTCGTGCATCCATCTCCGTTCATCTATTCTGCCCCGCTTGCATACTCACATTTCATCAAGAAGCGGTCAGCCCCTGTACTACCACTGGCTCCAGCTACATATTACGCTGGCAGCCCCGTGATTGGAGCTCCTCTTGCAACGACCTACAGTGCACCATTACTCAGTTCAGCATCTCTTCTCCCAGCCGTGCCAGTACCGTACGCTGCAGCACATTTAATCAAGAAGAGGTCCGCGCCCTTCTTGCCCGCCGTCACCACTTACGCAGCAACTGCTCCTATCCTAGCCTCCACCTATGCTGCCGCTCCTCTGCACTCTGTTCCTTTGATTGCCTCCACTCCTTTGATCTCGCAGCCAACTTACGCTGCTCATTTGATTAAGAAACGTTCAGCCCCTCTCTTGACTTCCTACGCTGCTTTCCCTAGTTCTTTTTCCCATCAATCCCGTGTTGACCTAACTCATTCCGGTCCTGCTGTAGTAACCAGCTACTCTTCTCCCATCGCATATTCAAGCCCCATTGGATTCAGTCATGTTATTTAAAAATGCGAATAATAGAGGAGACATTTAAAAATATGTTTCTTTTTCAAAATTGTCAGATCCATCTTTTCTTGTACATAAACATTTGAATTTTAAAAGGAAAAATAAAACGAAGTGATATAAAGTACAATTGTGTTTTTGTTTTTCTTTTGTCATCTTTAGAACTTAGAGTTTCGTTTTCAAATAATAATGTCAAAATACTGGTTTGTGCTCAGAGTCAAATAAATGAAGTTCGATCTAATTAACTCCGAAAAATATCGTAATCGTAATCTACAACGTATTTTTATTAACCTATATTAGTAATTATCAATCTACGTACGTGTAGTAAGTGAGTCATTCAATTTGATATTCTTAAATGCCAGTCATTAAGTACTTACTGGGTGCGTTATACGCCTTGTAGTTTTAGAATGTACTTTTAAAGGTTAATAAGATACTATTTGGTATAAATATATTTGTCTAGTTTAAGCACTAACCATATTAAATATTTGAAACCGATCCGCACCGGGCGGGACGAGCCGGACTATACGTTATGCATCATTTACATGTGGCCAGTAGACGAGACAATCCAGTAAGTCAAGCCAGTATTGGCCTCATGTAAATGGAGATGATACTCATGCCAGTAAACAAGCCAGTCCAATGAAATAGAACGGTTTCTAATTTTAATGGACTGGTGCACTGGATTGTCTCGGTTGTTAGTCATTTTTGAATAGTTTATAACCTGCCGTTAAGATTGGGCTGTAACTTAGATGGTACCTAATTAGTTAATTCATTCTCAATATAAAATATCGTATTTTAATTTAAACTAGCTTTCCGCCAGCGGCTTCGCCCGCGTGGTCCACTGGTACCTTACTCATAGATCTAAACTCCCCTCCCGCACGCGCACTTGGTGACCGCCTTGGTGACGCCCACTTCGCAACGGGCCGTGCAGCAGAAATCGTAATATTTTAATTTCGCCATAACTTCAAAACCAAACATCCAATTTTAATCATTCAAAGACTAAATATTATCTACATAAACTGTACTTAGTGATGAAGTAAATTATTTTGATACGGATTAATAGCATGGTTAAATAAATGCGTTTAAATGTAGTCCAAAATAATTCAAGATTTTTTAAATAAAAGATGGTTGTTGAGCCGCACTCGACATAGGTAGGTATAGTGTGTGGCGGACTTTTTTGAAGATATTTATAAGATTTACAATTAATTAGGACATTTTATGGTTCTAACTTTTATAGTTTAGGCAGCGTACGCAAAATAAGTAACTTTTCTGGTTGATTTTTTACACCTTGTGTCCGAAAAACCCAAACTCTATTTTTTTCCAAAATAAAATATAGCCTATGTTACTCGTGGATGATGTAGCTTTCGAATCGTGAAAGAATATTAAAAATCGGTCCAGTAGCTTTTGAGCCTATTCATTACAAACCAACAAACACAATTTTTCCTAAAAACATTATAAATATTATAGTCTAGATTAATAGTATATTTAACCTCACTATTAAGAATATAATCATAAGATATTTTCATGTCATAAAGATAATTCTATTCATGGTTGACTTAAACTTTCATAATAGAACCTTCTTTTCAACTAATATTTATATAAAGATGGTTTTCAATTCATAGGCTTAACGAATATGTCAGTAAGTTGTGCGGAATGTTCATATCACATAACCAACTTCATATTTCGATCATAACATTCGACTTATGAAATAAATTAAGGATATAGGTTAGAGAATCAAGGACACATCAACCTCCTTAGCTATTGACTGAAAATCAAATTAGATGTATCAGAAATGAATATATATTTTGATGTTTTTTTTTTTTATTTCCGATCTTCCTTGATATTTTTGTATCCAGGGAAAAGATAATGCCTAAACAGTGTAGATATTATATTATATTGCTGGCAGGCTTTATTAGAAAATTATCAAATGATATTTTGCTAAAGGAGAATTATTAATTTCCTATGGGAGTTGGGCTCTTTTGTGAAAACATGAGCTTTGTTGATGCTAACGGTAAAAGCATAGGGAATTATATTTCGATTATGCAGGAAAAAATCACTAGAAAATTTAGATTATCACTTTGAGGTTATGTCGCCATACTAAATGCGTATATTGTAAGAGTAATGAATGAAAGAGTAATGAACTTTGTCCTACATTTAAGAGTCATTATGTCATATGTAAAAATTGGGTGTATGTTGTTATATGTGAAATGCTTACGAGTACCAACAAACCAGTATACATATTGATTGTAATGTTCGTATTTGTAATAATATGTTGCATCTGATTTTATAATTACGAAAATAAAAACAAGTTGTAAACTCTGATAACACAACTCAAACCTCAGTGGTTTTTAGATGTTATCTTAAATTGTTTGTTATGTATATGTTTGTTTACTTGATAATAAAAGAAAAAAAAAAAATATATATAATCACATTTCTTAGTCAAAACCGGAAGAACTCCTATAATAGAAAATAAAACAATAGTTTTTTAACGCAACACATGAATAGTTATTTTTTGTTTATACATTGATAGAACTTTTAGTCTATTGATATTTACTCTTTATATTACTATACTAGCTTTCGCCAGCGGCTTCGCCCGCATGGATCCTAGGGAAATATTTAGTGGGATAAAAATAGCTAATACCCTATCTGTATACCAAATTTCATCAAAATCCGTTCAGTAGTTTCGGCGTGATTGACGGACAAACATCCAAACATCTAAACATCCAAACAAAGAAATTACTTTTATAATATAAATAGGATACTTTAATCGTTGGTCTATTGATTTCACTAAGTAACAAAATTGTTAGTTTAGTGAGTTTAGCAAATATTCAAAAAGGTATAATTTATGAAATATTTGTCTTATATTTGTATATATTTGAAATACAGTCATAATTATGAAATAATAATCTTAGTGTGAAATTATAATTTAAGAAAAGATTTTTGAAACGTGAATGTAGGTGTGTAGTTTCGGCTCGCATTATCTCAATCTCCTTTTATGTAAAAACATAAGTATGTGTAAACAAATTACTTTTGCTCAAGATATGTATAGAATTACAATATTAAATGTTTAATTTACTCTTTGAAATTTTATTATGACACATAAAATTAAGGGAATTTTTAAAATTTTAAAACGTTGTTAATATAAGCTGTCAATCAAAACCTAAAGACATTGTTAAATATTGCCTCGATAGAATCGTAAGATACAAGACGATTATGTTCGATTATATTGTCAATGACTAATAATGTTATCAAGACATTAATAAATAACCTCGAACAGTATATCCTTGAGTTTTTTATTCTACATAAAGTATAAATTAACATTAATATGTTTCCAAAATAAAGCTAGTTTAAAGAACTGGTGGGTTTAAACTATCACTATAAAAGATATGAATTTCTAAATTAAACTATTCCTTAACGATCATAGTTTCACGTGGTTCACTGGTAACATCGTCACTATTTTCTTCAACACCAGCACTAACGTTCGGAACTGTGTTTTCCATGTTGTTTTCTACTATTATTTCATCATTTATAGAACTTTCCTTTTCAGTGTGTGTTTGACTTTCGATTTCATGTTCTTCCCTCTCTGCTTCTTCTTGCATCATTCCTATCGATATTGGATGTTTGAGAGCTCTCGATAACGGAAGATTGTTAAAAAAAGTCAGGGCTATAGGAGTCAAAACTGTATCTACAGCTAAAACTGGTGTAATTACCGCTTCATTGGTCACTTCTTTAGGACTTATTATTGCTGGACTATAGATGAGGGGCGCGGAAATAAATCCTGGTGTATTCTTTACATCCACTCTTGATTGATGAGAGACAGCGGTAGGTGCTGCGTAGATTAGAGGAGCCACTTGACAGTGCGCAGTTGTTATAAACACGATAGATAATATCCTAATCATTTTGCTTTACGTAATGCGATGTGCATCTCTGACGTCGCAGTTTTATAGCCGTATAACGGTAGATGCGGCGGGTCAAGTTCTCGGTCGGTTACATAACTTGCGCAGGGGCACTGGCCGGATTGAGATTACTTGCAGCGCGTCACTATAGTACTCATGAATATTTATGATTGAATGAACTTAATCTCAATTTATAAACGTGATAGATTGAGTAATAGGTACGAACATGGTGTGAATGTGAATTTAAATGACATTTTAATTTGGTTTTATGATTAATGACAGTTGTTTGGAGGCATTTTTATTAAAGTTTTATTAAGACGAAAATTATTCCTAACACCAAGTAAGTTAAGTAGTTGGGAACTTGTGTTATGGAAATTAAAAGACATGATATCATGGTAAAATCGACTTTATATAATGGAGCCAACAGGCAATCTAGATCGAGGTCGTGTCAGTTCTGGACTGTGTGTCTGTGAATACAATGACACTTATTATTAGAGTATAGGTATGTACATGTCTTTATGGGTACTATCGGAAAGAGTTGCATTACGTACCTAATGTTATCCTTTTTAATTGTGTCGTTTTGTAGCTGATTTAAAGTTAGCTAGCTGACTTAAAGTTTTAATATGCAGATTAATTCGTGGCGATAGTTCTGAAAATCATCATATTTCCGTTTTAGAGTTAGTTAATATTATCCGGCCAAATCCAAAGAAAGTTTTTGAATTTATCAACCGCCGTTTTCTGAACTTTTTATATAGGTAACTATTTATTTACTACGATAAAGCTACTACATATAAATCAAGGGGGAAAATATACAATATAATGAAATGGCGAACTAGTTAAGTTATAAGCTTTCTCGTCATAAGGATATTATATAAATGGGTTTGCTAAGAACATTACGATATGCTAAAAATAAAAGTTAATAATTTTTAACTTGTATTAATTTAGTTTTATATACATATTATATATTAAGTCTTATTTAAATATTATATTGATCGAATATATTTTATTGTAAAATTAAATAAAAAGAAACATTCTAATAATATTAATATTTTGATATTATATTTAAATTTTAATTATTTAGATATTCATTTTCACTATAAAACTATTCCATTTTACTATTTTTACTTATAAAAGAGGCGTATAAATATATAATTTTTCTTAAAAGTGTATATTTTAAAGATTTCCACGAGTAATGAAATAAAGAATCCAAGCACGAAGTTTGCATCAATATTTATCTTGAGATTTTAAAAAAATAATAAGAAATATAGAAAAAAATGTGAAATAATACAATATTAATAAAGTTTAGGTTACATTTATTAGATACATATATACGTGGAAGTAAGCAAAAGCCTATTTAAATGACAAAAACATATTATTGTATTTTTTGTTGTAACCCAATTTCATTGTTCAATAGCGTATCCAATCTATTATTAGTTTTTCCGATCCTGTCACCTTAGATTCGATAGTATAAGTAGGCAGACATTTTAAATTTCTGCTGTTAGTTTACTCACACAGTTGAATTGAGCTGCAAGTTTTAAAATGTTCCGTTTAGTAATATTTTTCGCTTACCTTGCACTTGGATACTGCCATGCAGTATTACCTCTGGCTGCTCCCGCTGTGCATTCAGTTCATGTACCAGTGGTAACTTCCTATCATGGATATGGTCATGGGTTAGGTCATGGATTAGGCCATGGCGTTGGCCCCGGATACGGTTTCGGGCATGGTTTAATCAAGCCGTTGGGACATCACATCTGGAAGAGATCTCCTCACGCTATTGAGCCTTTCGGTCACGGACACTATGGCCATGTTGCTGCTGTCGCCCCAATCGCTCATGTTGCTCACGTGGCTCCAGTAGCAGTTTCACATCATGCCCGAGTTGATGTCCACTCATCTCCAGCTGTGGTTGCTCCAGTAGTTAAACACGTAGTTTCTCCAGTTGTAGCCGCTCCAGTTTTGGGTGTTGGACACCTTGGCGTTGGACATCTAGGCGCTGGACATCTAGGCGCTGGACATCTAGGCGCTGGACATCTAGGCGCTGGACATCTAGGCACTGGACACCTTGGTGGGCACCTAGGAGGACATTTAGGTGGTGGTTATTTAGACGCTGGTGCTGGACACCTTGGTGGACATTTGGGTGCAGGTCATCTGGGGCTCGGACATTACGCAGCTGGACATGGGCATTATGGGTTTTCTCATTTAGGACATTACTAGTCAGATATGTTCATGAAATTGTGCTTTAACATTGATATACAAAAATTAAGTGTTTTTGTAAACAAAGATAATATTTTTTTATGTCAGCAAATATAAATTCGGAAGAATATATTTTTTATTATTTTTCATCATCATCCCCATCACCAGCCTATTTATTTCTCTACTGGTGGGACACAGCAGTTTTCTATGGATGGTTTCAAAATGAATTAATAGGGTGAATTCTATTCAACTACCCACTTAGCGGACGGAGAAACTAAACATAATAAATTTTTCATCACTCATCTGATGATTGGCCAATACGAAAGTTGCTTAATTTCTGCATTGCAATGGCTCTTTGTTTGTATTTTTACTTGTATGTACTTATTTCTATTATTTAGTAGTTTTTATTTTATATCAAGATACTTTTGAATTATTGTCAAACAGACAATTTTTATTTTGAATCGACTACATCTTTGATAATAACTCGCTCTTTATATTGCAAAATATATTAATTAAGATTACATTAACCTTTACTATATTAGTTTAGCAACTTATAAGATAAAATAAAAGAATATGTATTTTTAATGATTTAATTTGGCAGTGAAATATACAAAGTATTCAAGTTCAGACAAATTTAAATTTGGTCAATAAATTTAGATGATCAGTAAATCACCACGGGTGGACGCTTAGGGCCTTAGGGACTACAGCGGAGTAAGCTAACGGAGAGCTAACAACAGCGGGGGAAGAGTAGGATACGACGGGGGACGCATAAGAGGAAACAACAGGGGTGGAATAAGCGGAAACAAGAGGGGCAGAGTAAGCTGATACGACAGGTGAAACCACAGCGCTGCGGGCTACCGGAGAGATAACTGAACTGTAGGAGACTGGTGCCACGACGGAACGCTTGCGAAGATGATGGCTAGCTAGAACTTTAGCTTGGTAATGGGCAGCGCGAGCGGCTACCACTTCAGGAGTATCGAGGGGCACTCCATGGACAGCATCCAGAACCACAGCGGGGGAGTGAGGAGCTTGAGCCAGGGCAGCAACAGCAGGAACCACAGCAGGAGCAGCTACAGCACTAACTACAGCTGGAGCACTGTAGACAGACGCTCCATACACGGCAGGTACAACTGGCGCTCCATGGACTACACTAGAGCTGTACTGTGACACAGAACTGACTGCTGGCACAGCCGCGCTGTAAGCCAAAGGAGCTACTACACCAGGCTTGGCCGCCGCCAAAGCTACTGCGGAGAACAACACCACCAGCTTGAACATTGTGGTCTGTGTTGAGGTATTTGATCGATGAGTAAGGATCAACTGATGCTTAGACGACTTCAATAGATCCTTATATACCGACGCTTATCTAACAAGAATAATTGACTGACAAAAAATGCCACATAGTTACCTTCAAATCAATGTATACCTTGATATTAAAAGTAGAATGATTACGGGCGTGTGCGCAAACATTTTTTTTTCATGCGGAAGCTAAACATTATTTTATTATATGTATTGAGTCAATATAGAAACCAATGTGTGAATTAATTTCTTCATAAAACAACATATACTATGAGCAATAAGTTAGCAGCATCTTAGACCTTTTATTTTGAGTAAAGGCTGTATAAGATTTACTATTTAAGCATTGTTTTAAGTGCACGATAAATTTTAAAATATATATTAAACACCCGTTATACAAGGAAAATAAAGGAAAATATAATTGCATTACAATAATCTTGATCAAACAAGATTGCAACACTACCTGGTTATTTAAGTGATAATTTAAAATAATTTTTGAAGTTTCAGTTGCACAAATATCCTATAAATTCTTAGTTTAAAGCGACGTTACCCATACAAATTTTCAAATTTCGAACATTCATTAAAGCTTAAAGTAGTCATTAATCTTTAATGGACGTTTGTGCAACTGACCGAAAGTTTTTTTGCATATTATAAATTTTGATATATTATTTTTTATTCATTCTTTTTTAGTGGAAAAAAATACACAAAAGGCGGATGTCAAGTCCGCCAAAGGCATTCTCTACTAGTCAACCTTAACAGATGTTGGACATCAGTTATAAGGCGATAAGAATAAAAAAAGCAAAATAAATTAATATACACATGAATAATGATTTACACACGTAATTACACAATGGGAATGAAATTTTGCCAAAGAGCTTTTGTATACATAATTTCTGTATTTGATCAATCTATACATAAAATAAAATAAAGTCGCTTCCCGCTGTCTGCATTTTGAGATCTCTTAAACTAAACAATGGATTTTAATTTTCATCGATATACATAGTAGTTCAAGAATAAAAATTATATGTATACAGGACCACGCGGACGAATATACTAGCGGATAATTAGTATAATATAGTATATCAATTTTGACAGTTCATGTCAAAATTGTCCATGAAACAGGACCTTAGAAAATAGCTAAGAGTGTAAGTTAATAGTCATTTTCTTCTGTCTACGATGATATTATTGAACAAAGTTACCAGAATAATTATTACTTTATGAGGAATAAAGTTTTCAAAATTTTGAAGCACACATTTGTTATCATATTTCAATAAAAATAATATATAACTGCAAAATCACTATAAAATGCGATTGGCTAGTCGTCAGAGCTGAATTTGTAAGGCCGCGTAGCGAGTTTGTTTGTTTTTGTAATAGGAATGTTAAAACAATATGTTATACGAAAATATAGGTTACAAAATGTATCTAATTTATTTTTATCCTATATTTATAAATTTAATAACTTATACCTATGCTAAATTTAAATAAAGAATTATAGATGGGTTAACGTGGGTCCCCCAATAGACGGGAGATTGTACAATAGCACATCTCATGTTTTTGACAGGTTGGCGCTATTACTTGGCAATGCACGTCCCTTATCCTGTCTCAAGTGTCTCTTAATCTAACTCCCAACCCGCAGTGGGAACCGTCCTGTAAAGGGGTAAGCCGAAATAGTGCGTGGTAAAGGGCCTCGACTGTTACCATGCATCGCTCGCCATGGAGGGGTACATGGGGTTTTAGTAGGGATGCTCCTGCAATTTGAATAACCCCCTTCTGGGGGCGGGTCTGCAGAAGAGAGCTCCATATAACCTCATGGGCCCGCGTAAGGGAAATGAGTTATGCAGTAATACGTTTCCATCGTAAAAAGAGGTTTAGATTAACCGTAGTATACTTATGCATAAAGGTGACTATATTCACTGACTTATAAAATACTGACATTAATACGAGTAAGTTGTTAATATGACATTGAAAAGATCAGACTCAAATTCATCATCATGAAATCCACGCAAGCGAAACAGTTAACCACACAAAATCAATGACCGACTCATTGTTTATGTTTAGATATTAAACTATTAGGTCACGCGTTCAATGAACGACATGAAGAAGTTTCTTGACCTAACGTAATAAGTTTCGATAAATTTTGTTCACAAGAATTCAATAAAATAAGATACTTTCGTTGCAAACGAATGGAATAAATTGAAGACCTTCTTTGATGATACACGGTAATAATAAGGTTATTACAGTACCAGTTTATTATTAAAATTACCGTGTTTTTTTGAAGGATTTAAATTTTCAAGACATTTTTATTATGAATTGGTATCGAAAACCTCTTAGTAGTCATCATTTTTCATTAGGTGTATCTTAAATTAGGTTATAAATGCGGAAGTTTGTGAGGATGTAAGGTACTGTCGCCTAATAACGCCCACTATTTTTGACCGCTAAAGTGATAAAAAATCATATGACATAGTTTCAAATTGCGTTGTACCGTCTTTAAAGATCTGTCAGTGTGGGACTGTTATTAAAATATATGCCAGTTAGTTTTTTAGCACTCCAACGGTTGAAAACAGTGGGCGTTATTAGGCGACAGTACATTAAGTATGTTTTTTACTCGTCCAAGTAAAAACTACTGAAGTACTACTGAACGGATTTGACGAATTTCTCAACCAATCGTAAATGTCTGTAATAGTGAGCGTATTTCTATTAATGTTCAGGAAGTTTTTGGATTTATATAGGCTCGAATATTATCTTGGGCATATAAGGTGATCGGGTACCTCGAGATCCAAACCAGAGATATTTTCTTCATTGGGCCGACCGGTATTCCAACCCGAGATCTCAGAGATGGCGACACCTTGGGGTCGTTGAGCAAGTGACGGTAGGTCAGCAAAATTAAATAGATATAAATAAATTAATTTTTATTGTCTATTCATTGGCCTTAGGTAATTTGTAAGGGGATTGGAATAAACCTCGAATACGGAAAAGAAAAAAAAGTACGTTAATTAGATTGTTCACAAGACAGCAAGTTTAGATTCAGATTTGGAGTATTAATATTTGTTATTACCTACATATATTTAAAGTAGGATTATTTGTCATTGATATATTTTTGGTAAATTAATTATTATTATTATCGAGACCACATCAATTCGTCAATTACATACTTTTGAAAAAATTTTGGTTGAAAAATAGGTAAGAATTATTAAATAATTTACTATTCCATTCAAATGGCGGTAAGAGGTAAAGGTAACTAGGTAGGTTAGTCACTGATTGTATTCTGTTTGTGTACAGTTCAACTGGCAGTAAGAGATAATTCGATGTGAATTTAAGAAATTCAATTATTCTAATAAAAAGGAAAAATAAAATATTTATAATTTATTTACTTATTTACAAGGCCGTTACTTCAGTCGTTTGTCATTCTAAACCGAGAAACTTTGTTTCTCGTTTCTTCAATGGTGCTTACCACGCGTGCACGCCGTAAGCCTTGGTGAGAAGGGGGGTTTGGTAGGCGATAGGGGCAGCAGACACCAAAGGGGCTGCAGCATAGGTGGATACTAGGGGGGCCGAGCTATAGGTGGTCAGGGCTGGAGCAGCGATCAAAGGTGCTGAGCGCTTGTGGATAAGGTGAGCACTTGGGTAGGTAATGGGAATAGCAGACAACAAGGGTGCTGCAGCATAAGTGGACACCAGGGGAGCCGTACTATAGGTGGTGAGGGCTGGAGTAGCGATCAAAGGTGCTGAGCGCTTGTGGATAAGGTGAGTACTTGCTAGGGTCTTCGCTTCGAAGTGAGCAGCACGAGCAGCAAGCACCTCAGGTGTGTCGAGGGGCACTGAAGGTGCGACGATAGCTGACTTGAACACTGCAGGGCCAGCAATGGCTGATTTCAAAAGTACAGGTTCAGCGATAGCTGATTTCAGCAGTGCAGGGGCAGCGTATGTAGCGATGGCAGGTGCTGCGATGGCGGAAGCTGCGATGGCAGGAGCTGCGATGGCGGTTGTGGCGATCGCAGCAGACTTGAAGACAGTTGGTGCTATCGCGGCGGTGGCAATAGGTGCCGAGACGTAAGAGTTGACCACAGCTGGCGACGACTTGACATCTACGCGTGATTGATAAGATACAGCAGAGGGGGCCACCACAGCAGGTGCAGCGACGACAGCTGGCTCAGCGACAACGGCGCGAGCAATAGGTTCGACGGCAGCGGTGGCGACGTAGGCAGGTGACGACTTGATGTCAATACGGGATTGGGAAGAGACCGCGGCAGGTAACGCTGCGATTGCAGGTGTAGCCAAAGCTGGTGCGGCGTACGATAGCACTTCGGAATGTAAGTTCGAAGGCGTAGCCGCTGCTAACGCCATCAGAGAAAACAACACCACCAGCGTGTTCATCGTGGTCTGTGTTAGTTCAGATGCAAACGACGAGTGATACTTTCTTCTCGGTGAACGTATGTTTTTATACTACTTATGAGTATAATACGATGTAGGAAAAAGTCAAGTTCAACCGGTACAGTTTACAATTTTATCGTGAATCTGTATAAACGAGTTATGACAACGAAATATCTATGTATGTTGCATAGATATTTAATAAATTAATATTTTAGTTTTTTATTATTGTTATAAATGTTAATGTCTGCTAAACTAGGCATACATTTATGATTAAATGAATATTAAAAAATATCACATACATTGCTTAGATGTACTATGAAAAATTTGAAACAACGAAAGTAACATCCAAACGCGAGACGTCAAATCTCAGAGATGACGTCATCTTAAAACCGACTTACCAGCCACTCGGTCACAGAGGCTGAAAAATTCATATATCATTTTAAAAGTATAGCATTTTAAGAGTACAAATGAAAAGCACAATTTTTTTAAAGGTGCTTATAGGTTATAAAGAAGAAAAAACTAAGTTACAAATTGATTATTTTAAATTGATGAGGTTTTATTATTAAAGGATAGTATTATTAATTTCTCAATCATTACAATTAGAAATGATTATAATTTTATGATAAAATTCTTTGAACATTTGGTTTGTAATAAGAATGACCATAAACGTTGTTTCTTTAAAATAACACATTATTTTTTTCTTTACATTGTTACCTATGTAATGATTTAATTAATCGGGATGAAGTCGTCTGGAATTCAAATTTGCGTATCGGTGGGTGTTAATAATTGCAGCAGGAGGCTTTAACTTCCTTCCGAAGCACGCAGTTACTCGAGATACTAAACTTTTGGTCACCCATCCTTTTACAAAAGTTTTACAAAAGCCGTTACAAAATTGCACAAATTTCGCATCGCAGATCGAAGGCTCTAACCAGTGCGATCCACGAATACATTTTTTTAAATACGTTGTACCTAATGACTCATTTACGCTTGTCGATGTTATCTCGTTTGTCAATAAAACAATGACCGACCAATGAAAGCATGGTTCAGATGTGGCCAGCGCCGTACGCAGTTGTCATCAACCACTTTAAGTACGCTATAAAACTAAAAATACGTACGGACATAAGTATGTTTATTTATTGATATATGATCACAAGAGGCAGGGTGACTACTAAAGTACTAACCTAAATTTGACTAATCGTAAATCCGGTGGGCTCTTTGCCGGATCCCGGGTTTGCTAGGACCCTCCCTGAGGGTACTAGCAGCGGGTTTTACCAACCTCGTAAAAGCCTGTCTTTTCAGGATGGGTGTGAGGTCGAAGAGCCCTGGTTTAAGATTTAAGGTTGCATTTCCCCTGCGTTAAAAAGGGGAACCTTTAATCCACCACTAAATGTCTTGGGCCAGAGATCTTCTTTACACAAATCAAAAGAACCACACTCGACAGAGTTGTGTTATTTACTTACAGAAGTCCCATGACCACCTTCTATTTTAAATCATCAAAACCTTATCAAGAAAAATCAAACGCATTCAAACTCAATAGAATTGATTTGATTATTTATAGTGTCATTTTTGTTTATTTAAAGTAGGTACACAGAATTTTTTCGTCACATGACTTCAACGGATATTACAGTTTAATTGGACTAGATAATAATCCCAAATTAATATAGTAGGCGAGTGTCGCAGTCTCAGAGGTCCCGGGTGCGATCCCGGTCGGGTTAATGTAGAAAATGAGCTTTTCTATCTTGTCTCGAGTGTGGGTTTTATGTTACCTTCGTTGTCTCGATACTCCATAATACAGGAGCTTTAGCCACTTATCTTGGAATCTAAGCACTGTATGGGATGACAATGTCAGTAATATCTTTCGTGATAACGAAAATAATAAAGATAATGTCCACACACATAAATATACGAAGTATCAGTTGTAATTTTACAAACTTCTATACATTTATATGTAGGTCTATGACGTCTTGGGATATTATTATTCTAACGGAGTGTTGGTCATGTGATTCGAAGCTAATTCCGATACTAGATAAATTATACATCTGTAAGCCAGCCACAATTTCACACCAAATGAGGGTATTGTCGCTTATTACAGAAAAGGTCTTACCCCATTTATTGAAGAACTGCAAATAGCCAAATAGCCGAACTGTATTGTCCTGAAAATAAACCTAGACACTTGTATACTAGGTTTTTACCGCCCTCCTGCTCATACTAATGTAAACAATTTTGTTACCTCGTTAGATACGTTATTATAAACACTTTCGAATTACAAAAATATAATCGTATTAGGGAATCTCAACATAGATATAAGACCAAATTCTTGTGATAACAGACGGCACCCATACCTATATCAAACAGCTAGTCATGGTTTACTTCCAGCTCACACTATGCCTACCATATACTTAATATCTCTATGAACCACATTGCAACTTTCAGCATTTCCACATTGCAAAACATCAAATTGAATAGACAGAGACGGGCTTCGCACTACAGAACAGAACTTCTTTTTCGCCACTACAGAGCATTTCCTTATCGTTGTTCAGGCAATCCACGCAAACAGCCGAAAGAAATATTTTTACAAATATTTAAACTTTCGATAAAGATGAAAATTGGTTCTAATTATTATATTTGATCAATTTCGCATTCACAATGCCATACTAAAAATTAAACCTATAAAATAGGTCCTTTTTTATTAAAATCAACACGTCCCTTACGTGTTTACCTTTTGTTCGAAAACATATCACTTAGTTTAACTAATTTTCATTATGTGAGACATCACTTAAATAAGTAGATTCAATTTGAAATTTTTACCCACAAAAGGACTAGGTTTTTTAATAATTATTTGCAAATGTACGCATACTTGTAGTACGTAGTTTATAAACAGTGTAGTGTACATAGATATATAGATAAAAAGTTTATTTCTAATCGTAACACACATTTACATCTCATCACATTTACACGACATTGATTGCTGATTTTCAGCCATTAACCTGTATGAAAAGAGTGGGGACAAAATATTTTTTAAGTAAAACCAATGAATGGTATTAGAAAATTTAATCATTTAGGAATGTCTATACGGTAGCTCAGAAATAGAATATAATTATTATTTAAATGAAATGTCAAAAATGTACATAAATAAAGTAAAATAATAGCAAATTATCGGAAAATAAAAAAGGAATGTTATGTATAATTCATAACGATAATAACATAATAATGTCAAGGTTGTAATATTATAGGTTAAAAAGATAGCCCAGGAAAATTAATTACATATATTCGCTAAGCATAAGTGTCTTCTGTAGCTCTAGTAAATGGGATCTTAATCTAAGTTTAAATGTGCAAATTCTAGTAGGACTCCACAAAGGGAGAGGTAAATCATTCCAATACTTTGTGGCTTGGTATTGGAAGCTACCTCTAAATGCCGCAGTGCGGCGATTGTAACAAACCTCTTCTCTTATAGTGTTCTCACTGGATAACGTGAAAAATTTAAGCTATTCGTGAAGATATTTAATAATGTTAAACAACAGACACGCCAAGTACAATTGCCTACGCGACTCCATATGAAGCATATTTACCGAATTTAAAAAAGGCTCACGAAAGCAAAATCTACAGCAAGCATTTTGTATACTCTGAATTACTAGACTTCTAAGGCCAGCGAGGGCCAATCACTACAACACCATAGTTAAGTTTCGACAGTATTAGTATCTCACATAGCGTCACTCGAGTACGCCTGAGAAAGTTACGGATCCGCTAGAGTACCTTCAAACGATACATGTACGTTTTGATCAAACCCAATATATGTATAATAAATAATAATGTTTTTTCTTTGGAACTTTACATGTAATATCGTGTACGAAAGCAGCCGCTTTAGTTTAAAAACTGCATTGCAGCCACATATGCCCACCTTCATTGTATAAAGAATAACGTTCCACTGCACAAAGTTAGATAGTTCAATTTTAAAATTAAATAGCATGCATTCTTATCATTATCACTGTATGTGTAGAATATTAATGTATATGAGAGTATGAGTATGTGTATATGGGAGTAAGTTTGTGTCTGTTTGTGTGTGTTTGTATAATATGTTATGTTTATGTGTATCTCTTTGTATGAGACTCGAACCGGAGCTGGCTATCAAAAATTACTCCCAAACTGCGCGCCTACTAGACCCTCAGCACTGGCTATTGTCCAACAGACACGATTGGATTGAAAACAACAATGCCCTCTACCTGCGCTTTCGAGCCAATAACCATAAATTTAGTTTTAGAGGTATTCAAAAACAGTCCATTCTCATACGACCAGTCAGCGATCGCCTGTAATTTCTTGTGTAATTTCAAAATAGTCTCTTGAGTTAACACTAGATACGTAGAGATATATAGTTGAAAATCATCTGCATAACAATGATAATTACAATATTTTATTACGTTGACCATATCTGCTGAATAAATGATGAATAACAAAGGCCCAAGAATGGAATTCTGGGGTACACCAAGTGTAAATCTCTGGGATCTGACATGTCTGTTGCGTCATCTCCGGGGACTCCATGTAGCTTTATCGGTTGGTACTGTGGAAAAAGGTAACCTGCAAACTATTTAACGGAAAGGTCGTCCAAGCCATAGTACTCGAACTTTACTGAGAGAAGATGTATGTCAATGCAATGAAAATGCAAAGGCGTGCGAATAGTGAATATAGTTTTCAGATTTATTTGAAACTTGTACTATAAAACGATTAAAACGATGCTATTTGCCAAATGTCATAGTTCTAGATCAACGGGCAGTACCCTATAAATTTGTTGTTTTTGCAGCGTAAATGGCTGTATCGTATCCTCTTTTCAGAAGTTCTATTCTTTCACAGCTTTAAGAGACTGTAATCTTGAGCATACGGTTTTAAGATCAACTCGATGTTTCTACGCGCTCTTGAAAATAAGGGTATTAACAAACAAACAGACGGACAACAAAGTGATCTTATAAATATTCCGTTTTTTTGTAGCATGGAACCACACTCTATGTTCT